AATTTATACCCTGTACCTAATACAAATATAGTACATTATCATACTCTTGGTTTTTGACTATGGTTAGAAAAGAATGTGTTACAAAGAACCCTAAATTCAAAATCTCAATCGAAAGTTCATAACAATAGGAAACATTTTTCATTTATTTCACCAGAACGTACAAATTGAATAAATAAAAGGATGTATTACATATGAATAGTTCGCCTTATCAACTTTACCCCAACAATATTTTTAACCTAATTTTATGGTAAAAGTTTGTGCAAGTTCATACGAGTCACATGAAAAACTTCCTTACGAGGGGCTTACAGCTACAAGTAGGTGAAAGTTATAATAGTACTCTAATCAATATTGGCGTATATGAACATTGACCATCAATTATATAGTACTATAAACAAACAAAAGACAACGATACGAGTTAATGTTATTAAATAGATTTACATTAAATGAGATCTAAGATTTTTGCAAGTACTCAAGTACGCTTGCCCGTGACCACGGTTGCGGTAAAGTAACCGAAACATCGCGAGTATGTAGTTTATAATTTAGTGTCGTAAATACGCAAATATTAGTTTCATTTAGATTTATATAAAATTAATTATCATGATCATAATATTTGAATACTTTTAACACCACTGGGTCACAATATCAATCTCCTAGCTGTCTCTATAAACAGTTAAAACGATGTAAATGTATATTTGTTTTCTTTATCATATCAAATATTATAATTCATATACACTTTATTTCGACATATTACATATTAGACAGTTTTTTTTTTTTTTATAAGGGCTAAGTTATAAAATATATTATTAACTTCAATATATATTTATATAGATTATAATCTACATATATCTAGTCATATATGACATACTATAATGAATTTTAGGCACACTTTTATTTTGTTTATCCTTTGCCGCTTACAGAAAGTTAAGGTGTAATGTCTCCTTTTCTTCATACCTATCAGATTTTGAAATTGAAATAATGACTACAACTAAGCTTCATGAAACAAGCTAATTCCGAAGGAAATATATCCGGAAATAATATAAACAGAGTGATACAAAGAAAACTTATATACTTATTTTTTTATCCTTCACTTTTTTGGTTTATCTTTTTTATTACTTTAAATAAGAGTCCCAGTGCTTCATTAATTTACATACATATACAAAGTTAGTATATTTTATTTGTTACCCACTTTCTACATTCCATAACAAAGTCCAACAATAGTTTATCTAGGTACGTAAAGGTTTGACAAGGGTCAATAATATAATTATATATGATAAAAGCAATCTCAGGGACGGAATATACTGATTAAAATAATGTTAATACATTGTAAACTTCCATTATAGTAATTTAACGATGTTGTTGAACATTCTGAGGATAATTTATGACTTACAATAAAATGAGTCAATGTGAATGTGTTCACACCTCAAATACTATACAAAATATTAACAATTTCTCTACCACTAATTTAAACAACCCTAATTTGTTTTCAAATCATACTTAATTGTTTTAATGATTTAAAAATAAACTGTTTATATTCCAGAAATAGACAACAATATTAGTGAAAAGTAGGATCGTACAGTCGGATTATCGAAAAACTTAATAAAAAGGTAGTCATGAAACGGAGTTTTCCTCGTGAGTACTGTTTGTGAAAAAAAAATTATTTACGATATTGAGTACAAATAAAAATTAAATATTAAATATTTAACAAATTTCGGTAAAACGTGATGTTATAAAATAAACTTAACCAACAGTCAAGTGTAATTCTAAAATTTATCACTGAATTTGCAAAAAAGGAACGGCAGAATTTCATTCAAGAGTTGTCCATCCTCTATTTAAAAAAGTTATTTTTAACTTTTTTACTGGACACAAAAAATATTTGATGAAAGAATACTTGTCCGATTTAAAAAGCAAAACTTAAAAACGCAGATTATACACAAATATATTTTTTCAAATGATTGTAAATAGCAAATATTCCGGAAAAATAAATGATCAAATAATTAAATTGACAATAAATTATTTCCTTCAATAAATTCCTTTTATACTATATATTTATTGTAGGCAATCTAATCAACTAATAATACAGGTAATTCATAAATTGTTATTGTTCCAATATTTGGCAACCACAAAATTAAGCTTCAACGGCCAATTTCTTTAATGCAAGGTTCGATGTTTTGACGTCGAACTTTGGTAAAGATAGGAAACAACCAATAGTGCTATTATAATTATCGTATCCATTTTTAGCTTATTTATATGAAACTGATTTTTCATTTCCGAATAATGGTTTTACAGGTAAATGTACGTCGGTTGCTATTACAAGCGAGTTACACAATTAGGTTAAGTACTAGGTGTCACCGTCCGACACAAAACACACGAAACCACGTTTATTTACATAGTGACAAAGAGATTACCCCAATCTCGATAATAGGCTGTAAAAGTTATGTATTGATTCTTTTTTTATTTTACATCAAAAAAATTATAGCAACATAACAAAATATTGTGTTAATTTTAAATATTCAATATCAGTCACGGACGGCCTCCTGCCAGATCCATGACCGTATGACTCCCAGGGCTGTACACCCAGACTTCCCCCCGTGACTAACTGAACTGGAATACACTGGTGGACGATGGAGTCGTCACGTCCCGATGCCAGATATTACACGTGTCCTGTATTATCTATTTCCAATAGTTGAGGAAGAGATTTACATTGCTCACATCTAGTTCCTTAATCAGATCTTAAAGGACGCACAAAGTTCGACTTTGTAAACAAGATGGGGCGATTAAATAGAGAAGACTACAGTTAATTACACATATTTAAACGTCTTACAACAAAGAACGCCTTTTATTTTTTAAAGTAAATGAAGAAAAACAATAAGGGTTGACTCCAGAGTTTTGACCTGAAGAAGAGTAGGAGCACTCTCAACTTGAGCAATAGCCTTTTAAAATAATAAATATGTGCACCTGTCATTGATAACTCTATAGTGCATTAATATTACTCATTACTTTAATAATTATAATTATTACATGTTTACCCGCGAACAACATTATTGCGGACTATAATTGTTTACACTCAATGAGATCAATGACTAAAATATTAAATAAAATTTTGTCTGTTTACGTTTATATTTAAATATAATTATGTGACTTAGTCAAATTGCCAAATCATTATTGACAATTAATATTTAATTTATTGTGTGTATTTTGAAGGTCGGTTAGCATGTATATATATCTCCATATTATTTCATCATATTCATATAATCTTATGTGAAAAATTAAAGTGTTCAAATATATAATATTTAATGGTTACTAAGAGAAAATATTCAATATAAAATTACATGACAGCTGAAACTAACTTCTAGCATGCAAAATATACCCTAAAATTTTCTGGTTACTATTTTTGGTTTATACAATTTGTGAAATACTCATTAATGGAGATTAAAATATATATTTCTGCCATCAGTATCAAAGTAACCCTAAAAAAACCCAATCCTTCCAAAAATGTATAACTTAAATATTAACATTTTCTGTTTTCGTTTATACATAGTAAACGCTTTTAATTTAACCGACATGTTTTGATTTATTCATCAATAAAATAATTAATTTTTCATCTTTATATTTAGCATATATTAACTAGGATGATTTATATATATTTTTATTTAATAGTTTTATTTGTTGTTTTAATTAACGAAGAAAAATGTTTTCTATGGCACAAAATAAAAATAATTTTAAGGTTTTGATAAATAAACATTTTGTATTTCAATGATTGATTCATTCATTCATTCATCAGTTATTTATAAAACTCAAATGTCTTTATTACATATCAAAATTTTTAAAGTAATATAGGCAAAAGAAACAAATTAATTTTAACAGCGAAGCATAAGGCTTAATTTTGATGATATTCGAGAATATTGAAATAAGATGAATAAAGAACTCCTGTGAAAGATAAAAATCACTTTAAAAAAGAGCATAGGCTAAAGAATTTTGAAATAATATGTAGTAGAGTTGACAAATAATATAATGCACAGCAAAGTTGAATCGATACCTTCATAAACTTTTCTAAGACTTGTACTAAATTTTTTGAGGACTTAGAGAAATCTCCCACTTTATTTTACTATCACAAGAACTTAGTGACCCTTTTTAACAACAACAACAACCATAGATCCTCAGCGTAATTATGTTGATTAATTTTCATGTACATATATGTACTTGATTTATACAAAACTATTATTATTCTTAATTTAAAAGAGAATGAAATAGCTAGTATCAATCGGTATTATAAATAAAAATATTTATCGGGTTTCAATATCTAACAATGGTCTGTTAACTGCGTGGGTGAACAATATGGTTCACTGTCCAGTTATCCGCAGTCCATACTACTAAACTTCCGTTAACTACACAACTTGCTCAAGTTATCATACGAAAACATCCTGTTCATACAATGAAAATAATTGTTGATAAAAATATTTTATATTATTTATTTAAGTCGTCGATATTTCTGCCTTTAGGGAAACAAAACATTGAAACTAGCTTTTGATTACATTATCAGTTATAGATCCTGCTTGAAACCTCAAATAACGTTCTGATTTTTTAACTGAGACCCAGAAAAAGATACTAGTTGAAATACATTTTGAATACAATAGGATGCGATAAAACTTTCGTTTTGTTGTTTTTTTTTTTGCAGTTAAAACTACGTTTCAGTATAGGTTAACTATTGAAAAACGGATTATAAAAATAAAGACTTTAATGTAAAATTATAGCGTTATATTATTATTAGTAAAGTTAAATTTAGTGTTCATTTAGATACACAAATAATTAATCAATAACAATTATAAGAAACAAAATAAATAAATAATTTTATTACAAATAGCAGTAACAAGCTCTAGCATATCTGAGTATAAATATAAATATTGTTTTATTTAACCTAGTATAGCGGGTCAATGAGGTTATTCAGGCTTATAAGCATATAAGACCCGTCGTTTTTTTAATCGCTGTGTTAAATATTTTAATCATTTAGCGCCGACATCGCGTGCAGATACAACAGTATTGGTTCGAGTGACTGTGGTCGTAGCATTCGCTGTTTTGGCTGATTTTCCTACTTTTTTTATGGTTGTTGTTGTAGTGGTCTTCGTAATACCACCATTTGGTAAGTGCTGAATATCACTACCAACACGAACTTCCTCGCTAGCTTTCTGACTCTGCTCATGTGCGCTGGAGTTGTTTACTGTTTTATTAACATTTTGCAAGAAGCCATCCTTTTCAATCACTTCGTTACTATGCTCCTCAGTACATGAAGCTCCTCTCTCTCCACTACCAGATATATGAATAGCTCCATTTTCAACCGGAATGACTTCACTATTCTCATAACGTTCAATAAACCCATTGCCATCTGATTTTTCTATTGTATAAGAACCTCGTCGAGGCTGGGTTTCAGGAACCCAAACTATTTCTTGGGTAAGCCTTTCTTGGATAGGCTCTGGCGTAGCTGTAGAACTTCTTATTTCATTCCTAACTTGGGTCACATGTGTGTGCACATTGCGAGCATCGCTATTGGAATCTATAGACTCATACATAGATTGTCGAGAATTTGTTTCAGGCGTTCTGGGTGGGTTGACATGGCCATTTGTTTTGATCACTATACTTTCTTTTTCCCAAGTTTCAGACAAGTCTCTGTGATTATCGTGATGCACTTCTTTCTCAGCAGGTTTTTTCATTGTTTGCATAACATGACGAAGAGGTTCAATTGGCTTAAGTTGACCCAGAAGAGGAGAATGTTTTATTCCAAACGTTATTTGCGGGGTTTTATTGATCTGTACCTGTAAAACATAATATATTTTTTATTAATTGATAAATATATTTTCTATCTTCATATAATAATAAAATTATTATCAAACTAGGTACATATATTTATTTAATTAGAGCGGCTTGTTTTATACAAATAATTAAATTATAAGTATGTATGTATATATTTACTTTCTCTGGAGAATATGTTCCTGGTGCCGGTATTCTAGAGCGATCATCCTTAGGGTCTTTCGGACGACCTACCATAGTGTAGACGGGACTCTCCAATACAGACGGAATACGATAACTATTGGGAGCTGAAAATGAAGTAAAATTCATTCATTATGTATTCATAGTATTATCATTCCAATGTGATAAATTAACATTTTACAACTTTTATATAAATAAACATCTAAAGTTCTATAAATCTAACCTGGCGTATCAGCATATTTGTCAGTGTGGATTTTTACGCCAAAAGTGTATTGCGGTGAGTATGTCAAAACAAATTTGTAGCCTTTTTCTGGGTTATATGTCCCCGGAGCGGGAACTTTTAGACGTTCATCAATTGGCTCTTTATGTCTTCCAGAAATCGTGTAAAGTGGAGTTTTTTGGAGATTTGGTATAGTGTAAGAGTTAGGTGCTGAAAAAAAAGTTACATAAAGTTACAAAAGAAAGGAAGGTACAAAGTTTCGTTTTGTTCGATATAAAATAATGCATAATTGAACAATCTGTTTCATTTTTGTTTCAAAACAAATACATATTATAAACTACTATTATTACTGTACTATTCAATTAAAAAATATATACTTACCAGGAGTATCCATAGCTTTTATGACATCGGGTTTGATTCTAAATGTATATTGTGGAGCACTGTGTAAAAGTTTATCGGCCTTATCAGGGTTGTAATTGTTGGGGGCTGGATTATTATCTGATTTATGTGGGTTTGTTTTTATTCTGAACGAATATCGTGGTGCGTTATCTAATAAGAGCTTGTCAGCTTTTTCTGGATTATAAACATTTGGTGCTGGGGTATCGTTTATTTTGGCATCCTTTCCTTTCGGTGATAAACTGTATGAAGGGGTATGTTCTAAAATAACTTTATCAGCCTTCTCTATATTGTACACATTGGGACCCGGTGTATCTGGTTTTTTGCTGTCATCAATTTTAGGTCGGAATGTATATGCCGGTGAAGTTTCATGTAAAACTTTATCAGCTCGATCAGTATTGTAAGCATTAGGAGCGGGATAGTTATCAGTTTTCAGTGCTGGTCGTTTGATACCAAAACTATACTTTGGCTCGCCACTGTGTGGATATTTATTTGGATCATAGGCATTAGGAGCAGGGTTGTCAATTATTTTATCAGGGTGTCCTTTTCCACATATTGTATATTTAGGAGATCCATTTATAATATGAGGCTCGTATGCATTAGGCGCTGGGACCTCAAAACATTTTGGGTCATTACTTTTACCACCCATTGTATATCTCGGACTATTTTGAGGTAAATGTGGATCATAAGAATCAGGTCCAGGAGTAATAAACATTTTAGGGTCAGTACCTTTTCCACTCATCGTGAATTTTGGTGCATTATTAGGTAATAAAGCATTATAAGCGTTCGGAGCAGGAACATCAGGAAATTTTTCATCGGGACCTTTCCCTGACATGGTGTATCTTGGTGCATTTGAAGGTACATGAGGATCGTAACTATTAGGTCCAGGTGTATTGAATACTTTGGTATCGTGACCTTTTCCTGTTAAAGAGTACTTAGGAGTATTATCAAGTAAGCGCGGATCATAGACATTAGGTCCAGGGGTATCAGATGGCTTAATGTCATGTCCTTTTCCGTACAAGCTATATTTTGGAGCATCATCTTTAAGGCGAGGTTCGTATGCATTAGGTGCTGGAGTGTCACTGAGTTTCCCTTCCGAAATTTTAGGTCTTAACGTATAAGCAGGTGAAGAGTCGTGAAGAAGTTTGTCAGCTTTATCAGGGCAATATGCATTTGGAGCCGGAACATCTTCTATTTTCGGAGAAGAACCTTTACCTGCCATGGTAAATTTTGGTGTACTATCTAATAAATGTATTGACTTTTCGGGCGAATACACGTTAGGTGCAGGAAAATTATCAGTTTTTAATATTTTATCTTTTGCTCGAAACGTGTAAGCAGGTGAGGATTCGTGTAATAATTTATCCGCCTTATTAGGGTTATAGGCATTTGGGCTTGGAGTATCTGCAATTTTTTCAGAGTGACCTTTTCCACTTATTGAAAATTTTGGAGCACTGTCTAATGAATGCATAGATTTTTCAGGCGAATAAACATTCGGAGCTGGTGATTCACTCCTTACAGTTGGATGGTCTTTAACCCTAAAAGAATATGCTGGAGTGCTTTCATGTAAAATCTTATCAGCTTTTTCCGGATTATAACTGTTAGGAGCAGGCAAGATATCCGTTTTCATCTGACATCCTTTGCCCAATATTGTAAATTTTGGACCACCATTTAACATGTGCATAGATTTTTCCGGAGCATATACATTAGGAGCTGGTGTGTCCTCAATCTTTTCAACTATTTCTTTGGATCTCAGTGTATAAGCAGGTGAACTTTCACGAAGTAATTTATCAGCTTTTTGGGGGTTGTAAGAATTTGGTGCAGGAGTAATATCATGTTTCTCCGCAGTTCCTTTTCCAGAAAGAGTATACTTAGGACCGTTTTTCAAAGCATGTAAAGATTTTTCCGGAGAATATACATTTGGTGCAGGGGCGTCGTGAACTTTGATTATTTCTGATTTAGTTCTAAAAGAAAACGCTGGAGATTTTTCTCTTAAAATCCTATCTGCTTTTTCCGGACTATAAGCATTAGGCGCTGGTATCTGCTCTACTTTTTTAATTTTACTAGATGACTTAACTGTGAGTTTTGGTGATTGAGTACGATGAGACTTAGCCTGGAAATCAATAAATAGAATTATAACTTACATCTTACAATTACAAGAAATAGATTAAGAAAAATAGGTTTTTGATACAATTAAAATTATAGTATTGTTCCAATTGATATAAAATTAAATCAGTTTAAATTTAGATCACGTTAGATATAAAGAACAATTAACCCATATCAGAAATATCCAATTTTTTTCATAAATAAGAAATTATAAATTGATTTAATGGTAAAAGAAACTAAAAGTCATGTTTCTAAAACAGTTAGTATAGTACTAATACTAATTATAGAAACTAATTTCTATCATAGTCTTAAAAGTAATGTCTAAGCAACAACAACAACATTTATAGCTTGTTACGGACAATTTTATTAAATAGCAGTTATTTCTTCCGGCGCAGGATAGTTAACGGCCTGTCCGATGTATTGCGAGTGGCGAATCCCGAAGGTATGCGCCGGAGCCCATGGAAGATTCACGCATACCTGTTGTTAGTATATGAATTATGACATATTAAGATGGCATTAATGAAATTATTAATAAGGAGAGTGAAATTTGAAACATTTGTTGTTAATAAAATTATAAGAGAATGCGAAGCGATAGTAGACAGGCATAGGGCCAATATTTAAGACTTTACTTTTTCTGGACAATAGACTCCCGGACCAGGAACAGCTGCGGTTGGAGGCTTCAGCTCCCGTCTAGGTGCCATAGTGTAGGCTGGAGGACGTTTAGTAATAACAGATGCCGCTTTATCCGTCGTGTAAGTGCCAGGACCAGGCATCGGTGTCTTCGACTCGATCGCTTTGCCACGACCCGTGATACTGAATGCCGGTGCCGCTCGCTTGCTGCCTTCTCTCGCTTCTCCAAGAACAGGTGGCATAGAATAAACGTTAGGCGCTGGAAATTTATAAAATATAAACTAAGTATGTATGTATTTTTTTCATATTTGGCATCTTCAAAATATAAGCAAACACATTTAGTTAATTAAAATTGCGACATACAACTACATATATCATACCAAGGCAATCCATGACAATTGATGAAGGTAGTGAAGATAATGCAAGAAATAAATGTCAACAATAAACAAACGAAAATGTGAACGAAATAAACGAACCACTAAACTCTAAAGAATAATCTCAACAGCACAATTGCATCTTAAAAGATCCTATATATTTTTCTTTACCATAACTAAAGTATAACGTATGAATCTATAATACTTGTCATAAGAACATACCTTACTTACTAACATTACAAAAAATTAAAGCTAGAAAACACCAATAAAAAAAGGAACCAAATTAGAGTATGATTTGAAACAGCATATTTTCAGTGCAAAGTACAACAAGGAACAAACACAAGCCAAGCAACTAAAATCAAGAAACAACTTGTAGACACAAGCGACGTTTAATAACACCTGGTGTTTTATTTCCTGCCTGTGGGGGAGAAACGCGAAGACCTATCGAGAATGCTGGAGCATGATCAAGAACAGCTCGGGCAGCCTTGCTGGGCTCGTAGTCGCAAGGAGCTGGTGTTGGCGTTACTCGAGGTGGTGGCCATCGACCATGCAAAGAAGCCGCCGGGCCCGCCGCCCGTCCTATATTTAACCTCGTATATAATGTTTAAACTAAAATATTGCACCCTCGTCAGATTTTAAAACACGATATCATTTTATAACAAAGTCCTTAAAATGGAACGAAAACTAATATTTAACAAAATAAATATTTGTTTTAAATACATTCTGTAAATCTTATTGACCGCATATACGAATACTAATATTTTACATATATTGCAGTAAATTCTAAATATTTAATTCTTTGTATAAGTATAACTCATGAAAGTAACGCTCAAAGAAGTATACAAATTCAAAAGATATAAAATATTCATAAATTCTCAAAACATAACAAATAAAATTTTAATCGTAAAAGAATTAAGTAATAAGCAACTTAATCATGATAGAAAAAATATATCGCACGCTATTGCAAAAATGGACAGGTATACATGGTAAATACAAATAAAACTGAAGATAATGCATCATCAACACAATATTTCATGAATCTTTTCTTATGAATGCACTCACTTTAAAAATGTTTCACTACACTAAATAAATTCGTTCCAAATCGATAGACTGGTAACAGCCGTTGTTGAGTTGTAACTGAGTTTGTGCGAATAAACCAGATCAAGCAGACCACTCAGGGTCCCTAGACACCTACACGCTGACTCATAGCCTCGATCACCTTCATATATACGGACTTATTTGGTGCCATCGAACAAATGCACTCAGGAACCTATCCAATGTCACTTATGAATACGAAATTTCCAGAATAACTCTCATAGACAATAGGAAGGCCACCTTAAATCATTCTATATAATGATTAATCCTCATTGATGTGAGAAAAATAGGGGGTTTTGTTTACTTGGAAATATGATAAATAATTCGTGTCAAGGTAAATGCGACATCATATTTTATAGTAAAAGCAATCATCATAACTACAGTTTAACTACTTTAAACCACACCCAATCAGAGGGGCGAATATTAAACATTGCAGTCGACGAGGTATGTATATGTTAATTTTGGCCTACTTATACTTACTAAGACCTACTTCCTTCTGCATCATTTTGATTTATTACAAACAAATTCCATCAAAATAATTTTAATAACAATGAATTTTAAATTACATTATTCAAGATATGTCTATCATGAATATTATTTTATTTTAATAAATATTTATATACAAACATTTTATAGAATAGTGGTCCAAAGTATTGTTTTAATACTTCGATATAAAAAAAATTATTGAAATACATAGAAATACGGAACAAGTTAAACAATAACTGAAAAGTTTTTTTGGATACGCAGCTATAAAACACGTAAAGACTTTATAGCTCCATAAAACAATTGCTTATTAGCTCTACTTGTATTATGAATAGATCACTTAAATGTCATTAGGCATTCAACCATTGTGAGCAGAATAAGAATTAGCTTCAGATCATTGACCCATAAAAAAATTTACCATAATCCTTTTTAATTTTAGTTTTAAGTTTTAAAAGATATGTCAATAAACCAGCGTTTTTTTTGTAATTTTGTACCATTAGAACGATGTAAGTTAATTTGATTCTTATTAATCTATAATATCACATAAATTGTAATTTATTTTTCCTTTAAAATAATCAAACTATGTATATATTTGGCATTATGATATTTGATTGTTTGACATTCAGTAAAACCACAAACAGTGATGAATTGTTTGGAGATGACAAATAATCATATGTTTGTCGGAAGCATTGTAGTATGTACTATATATTTTGAAATTATTGTTATAAATATAATATTTTTGCTTTTCATCTCCACATACATCTATCGTGTGTCTAATTTCATATTACATAATTTTTATAGAAATATTTTACATAAAATCTAAGATTGTTAATTTTTCCAATTATATTCGATAAAATTTGTAATAACCATAAAAATGCAATATTTTCTCAAGACTCCTTATATAGTAAAAAGTAAGATATCAATGATGTTTTCAAAATACATACATACATACAAATGCATATATGTATATGTACATGTAAATTGTAATATTCACTAAGTCAGAATTTATGTGTTGGCAAAATGTCTAAGATATTTGTATGTATGGGCAAAAGACTATTAATATACAATTGTTTTAATCTTTTGGTATATTTAATCATCTTTAACATTGATAGATCTTTGTTATTTTATGGATATGGCAACGGTTTCAATCACTACTCAGACTATATTAGTCAAGCAGCCTTGTCAGATGTCAGTAGATTTTTTTCGCTCTATACTATTCAACTGTCAAGGATGAAAAAATATGAGTTCTATTCTCCAAACAAAAAAAAATTATCAACAATCGTAAATTTTTGCATTGCACACCCTAAATATGACCTAAAAATACCCTAAGTTATGCATATTACTTATATGATAAAGCGCTTAGAAGTATTTTCATAGTAACAATTTTTTTCTTTACCTTTAGCTGTCATGCCTTCCGTGTTGTAAGAAGCGGGACCGGGGCCACTCTTATCCTTACCCGCAGCTTCCAATTTCTGTCCAAACGTGAACGCTGGTGCTCTTGGCTTTCTAGATTCCGGCGGAGGCTTGCCTAGAAAATGGAGAGATACTATTCTAAAACACTGTTTAATACAAAAGGAGATATTGTTTATATATAAGTATTTTATTACATCTGACATCATCTTGCCCTTTACTATAAAATATAAACAATTATATTTTATAAATTTAAAATAAGATCGACCGAACAAACCTTTAAGTTTTTTAATTCACTCTTTTAAGATTTTAACACCTCAAAACTAGACAAACAACTTAATATAGCACCAAAATGAAACTGATGGAAATACAGGTTAGCTAGCACAAAATTTTGTTGTAAATACAATAACAAACTTGTTCTTGTTGCTTGTTATTGGTTAACTAAATGATGTCACTTTGTATATGAACACGGGCAAGGTCGGTGTTTGCGGCGATAATCTCACAACCTCCGGTGATGTCAGCTCTATAAACAATGCGCCAAATTTCAAATAAATATATTATGCACAAAAGAAATACCTCACCGTGACAATATTTATATTGTACAGAGTAATTATTGAAAAGAAATACGAAATAACCAAGTAAAAATTTAACAACAATTTAAATAAATAAATATTTTATAGGATGTGGATTAATCTGCCTTTTTAATTAAAATTTTAATTGTAAACATTGATACATGGCTTGAACTGTAGTCTTTAATACCGACCTTTTTATATTTATAAGTAACATTGTGAATACAACTCTAAGATAACGCAAATCAAAGCGATGACAGCATCGAGCCAGTTTTTTATTACCTGAAGGTCATTGACTATATCTAAACAGTGCTGTATTTACATATATGGAACTTCTGTTCATCGAAACCAATAATGAGATTATCTTTAACAGTCGTGTGTTTATATAATTTTATTTATTATATAAAATAATACCGAAAATCCTTCTCATTCATAAATTTTTCTCTTTTAGTTTTAACTCTAGTTAAAATGTTATACGTTATTCCAACTACCAAGCTACTTAGACAACAAAATTTCGTATTAACAGTTTCGCTAATTTGATTGAATGAGTATGAAATTTGAAAAATTAACTGTCATTTTTGAAATTAAAATTGAAATTAAATTTGAAATTAAAATTCTTTACCTATAAGAGAAGGAAGAGAAACGACAGCTGGTCCAGGACTAGCAGTTTCAGCAGCGATGGGTCCTCGTCTTTTGGTTGGTGTCCAAGGATTTTGACGAACTCCCATCGGTGTTTCACAAATAAATGACTGCTTGAGTAGCGAAGACTCTGTCCGAATAGGCCCTATGTTCGATCTCTTCCGTAAGCTTCCTTGGGTTAGTACCTTAAAGTACGGTATTTAATTTCATTACATCAATTCACAAATGTATTCTTATTAAACGGTGTAATAGTCCACGCTAAGAATATTAGGTTTTTTCTGTGAGCCAATATATATTGTAGCTACGTCTTACTCTATTTCTTTTAATAAAGATATTACCGATTTCGCTGTACTAGCTGTTGATTTCAGCGATTTCGTTGCATTCATCTTAGTAAATAGAATAGATCACGACTTAAAAGCGGAAGAAATAATTAAAAAATAATGATAAAAATTATATAAAACTGTTAATTCAAAATCTTTACAAAACACATATCACAAATTGCACAACATTGACGTTATTGACGTATTATGTCATGATGTGAATAAATAAAAATGAATTCACAGAAATGACTTGTTAAATCTCCAATAAAAAATATACAGCCTTAATATTTTATTACATTTTTAAGCTATACTTCAAGAGTGAGTTGCAAAATAGAACGAATTAACATCATAGCTTGAACATCTTAATGTAAAGATCATTAACACGTATCACACGTATCGTCTGAGAACACGTTTCCTAATCCTTTAACAGCTAACATCTCGTTTCTCCATAGCAATAGGAACTGCTTACGAAATTAGATTCCATAAACAACGCTGTCTTTATAAGGAATCAGAGAATTTTATTCTCGTTGGACTCTGCCAAATAGGGACACGATCGTATCGAATCTCGAGAAAAATTAACAGCTTTCTATTTATCTTGGTATAATATATAACGTCTTATCTGTTTCAGTTGGTATGTCTATAATTTAAATATCTGTAAAGCTTTAATTGTTTGGACATATCTGGGTCTTTGAGAATAGCCAAAAAAAAAATAAAATCAAAATTACATTTAGTTGATAAGGACCGATAATAATTATTAATTTCGTGTAAAAAAGACACATTCCAATATTATAACTGTTTTAAATAAGAATGATGTCAAATTGAACATGTTTGTTTAACCATAAAAAACTATTTTCTAATAAATTATAGATAACAAGTGCGAATTATCAATCCGTCAAGTGATATATAATATTGGTTATAAACCCACGCAAAACATATTATGTATGTATGTTCGCCTCCGTATCGCCTACACCTTCTATTACGGAAATGATGTTTAGAACCACTATAATAAACAATTTTAATTTACTAGTAAGTATATTTATAAAGCTTTTTCTTAACTATAGTTTTAAGGTATTTGTTTTGAAATATTATCTGTTATAAAACTCATATTAAAATTAAAAATATTTCAATAGTAACCATCATTTTGTATATATTATTTTTATTTAAAATCCATATAAAAATTTTGCATAAATGAAAGTTTAGATTATATCACATATACAAAATCAGAACATAGATTTCTATTTTAAAAATATTAAAATACAGAACATTTTAAAAAACGTCTTGATGAGATCTAACTGAAATAAATAAAATAGTATGAAATGTGTATATCATACTATCTGAAATATATATTTTTGGTATCTATTTTTAAAATCGTTAAAAATATGTATTCGTAATTTATTTTCAAAATATATACTTAGGAAGAATTATGTTTTAAAAAGTTTTATTGATGTCGTCTACAATAAACAAAATAAAAAACAAGTCATCGCGTCCAAAAAGAAAATCTAATTCAGTACCAGGCTGTGCGAGTCGCTGTCGTCGTGAAAAATGAATAAAATCCTATTTGGGCCATTCGTTTATACACAGTATTCGCAAACCCACACAACACCTTTTCCTTATACTTAGTTACATAACCATGTTTGGTATGTGTATCATATTTGTAACTTATAAATATGTAGTAAAAAACACGAAGGTGTTGTTGAATTTCATGACAGTTTTTTTAATTCCTTTTCGATCGTTTAGAATTTTTACCAAAAACAATTACATTTTGATAATATTTATTTGCTATATTGAAGTTGATTACAATAATTTAGTACTGTCTTTTATAGATTTTTTCAATCGGACCGATTTACAGATATGTATTTTCAGCTGATGCATTATGTGAACAACCTTAATCAAATAGGGAAAAATTTATAAATAATATGAAAAATTAATTAGATGCTGTTATGTAAATAAGATATTTATTACGTCTTCTAATTAAGCATTTAAATGCTGAGGACTTGAATGATAGAAATTATAAACACAACAAGCGTTTATATTATAATTATACTCTAATGCAATTAGCAATTAAGCGATGAAATGATGCTTGTACACAAAGTGACTTATTTATCAAAGACGGCTAATCAATAAGATCTTACTTACATGTATGTATAATGTATATATAATAATAGGTGCTTGTCTAATTTTGTCGATGTGAGACCAATTGAAGCTGACGTCATTATTTGACCTTTGCAAGTCAATTCTATTACACTTTACAGTTAATACATTAACAAAGCTCTTTATCAAGGTCGATGATCAATGCTATCACTCATGCAATTATACTGTATACAAAATAGAAATTATCCCATCGTACCATACGAAGTAGTCAAAGTTAAACGTTTGTCATAGTATCCTTTAATAGCAACGTGGTTAAATTATTCATAAAATTGAAATTCAATCGTTCATTGGATTAAATACATATAAAACTTAAATACTCTTATCGCCTTATTTACAAGTTTATGCTTGAATAATAATAAATTTTATGCTCTCTTTAAAATGGAAGTTATAAAGTTAATTCTATAAGTAAATATTAATATTTCATTCATTTGAGGTTGAAATGATGGTCAAGACTACTCAAAATTAATATAAAAATTATGAAGGTATATAAAATATTTCTTGGTTAATAAAACAAAATTCCTAAAGTGAATTCTTAATTCGTTATAATCACTTTCATGCTCGAATAGCTCATCTTTACTTTTTGTTACGTAAAACATTTGCATAGAAAAATACTCAACAGTGAACATCAAATGGAGTGAAACGTCGGATAAAATTTCGAATAACATAACTTTCTTTTAAAATAATAAAGTAGATTAATCGAACTACATTTTTAACACTGTAAGAGATAAAAATTTTTGCAAGTAACTTTTAACTATTTTAAACTAAAATACAATTTATTATAATGGTTGATTAATGGTCATAAAATGCCACGAATAACAAAACGTGTATTTTTTGTTATGTAATAATAACGGTGTTTGTAAATATGTGTTAATAAGTCAATTTAGAGCCTGCATAATTTGCAAATGTATGCAAAACATAACATAACATGTGATGCTATAGTCTGGAACGGTCCAGAACAAATCACTGCTCGTTTGATATAATTGCAAAATGTTACCTTGCCGTTCTTTATAGACTATTTTATGTAGAGACTAAGTGAAGTGGCAATAAATCTCTATTAAACTCAGTCAACGATGCAATTATTCTTTAAATAATTCCACTCTTTCACAAATTGTTTTAGATTGACCTCTACTGCTATCAACTCGTTAAACGAACATCCCAGACATGATTTTTAACAATTAATATTATATGATCAAAATTATTTTTTTCGGTTCCAATACTGAGCAAAACAATATATCTTTCTAAATCATTATATATATTTTTTTTAACACCTTAAAATATATATATCGTAAATCTATATTACATGAATGATTTTTATATCGGATAGCTGAAGTTTTATGGAAACCGAGAGTTGTATTTAAATTAAAAATATTTAAATAGAAAATATACAGGATATTTTGAAGATGCCTAAAATATATAGATATTGATAAATATACACTGCTCATACTCTTAAAAGTATACATCCTTGGATTTGTTAACCGTATAAACAAGTAATGACATCACTATATAACTGGAAATGAATAAGTCAAACATAATTTCCAATTAAGCAACTGTTATATATAATATATATTTTGCTAATTACATAATAATCGACTCACCTACAGTACACCAAAATGAAAGTTTAACTCGTATACACTATATATAAATTTTAATTAAAATAAATGAAATACAATTAATATTTTCGTTCAGCGAAAGCTGTCGTTTGTATAGCGCTTGGTTCGTCGCGGTGCACTGCGGTCGAATGCTTGACAATTTTGCGCCTTGCGACTCCTCGCACTGAATGGATGTGTCGTGGGCGATTCCCGCCAAAACCAGTCACCTTGGTTACGCGACAGCATCATCACTTGTTTTTATCCATAAAGATTATGCCTTTTCTTCATACTTGCTTCATTTTATGTTCTTTTTACTCGTTGACTTCTGAGCCCAAGACTGGCTTTATATTATTTATCCCTTTAATTTAATTTAAAATAGGCACTGGCCAGCGCATTGATGTGGAAATCTAACCAGAGCTGCCCCGACTTGGCTTGCCTTGTAAGATTAAACAGCCATCATAATTTCTCCTACCTTTATCCTCTTATAAACATATATTGAATTAAGAATCTTAATTGGAAACGTCAATTTTGCGACGATACCCACATGACAGACCGCCTGTTTGTTACTTTTCTTAGGGTTAGAAATAATAACCAATAAATTATTATTTTTTAATACATGAGAAATTATATATTCAATAACTTTTTAAGTTCATAACAAGAAGTAATAAAAACATTGCGGAATTGATTACATGTAATTTGGCATACGCCTGTTTCATTCGAGGTCTTACGCCTCCGCTAAATGAGTTATAAAGGAAGAAAATAAATCTCTGAATCACATTGCCATTTTAGGATACGGAGTAATATCGTCAATAAAGTGACATAATTGTTATTTAAAATTTTCTTATAATAATAAATGGACCTATTAAACCATAATTGGGTGAAGGTTTTACCTTACACCAACAAACAACGAAATATGGTTCTTTTAATTCCATTACTATAATAAATTTACTAAAAGTAATTGCGACAAAAAGCACCGAAAATAATACTTCAATAAATAAACAACAGTAAATGACATTAAACCCAAACTTCGCCGTTGTAATGTCTAAGAATATTAGATATAATTTTTTATGGGTCAATGCTGTTACACTAGATACAAAAAATAAAATATATTCATAAAAGTCTTAAAAGAACAACTTAAACTAAACATCGTATTCTTATTTTCCTTTTCTTTTAAACAAATGAACACATTCCAAGAAATGAGCAAAAATTTTCCTTTCCGACAGTCTTTTATTGAAGAGAAAATAATGCGGACTAATATTATAAAAACTTTGTTTGGAATGAATAATGTTATTTTTTTTCAGAATACCAATTAAATTAAATATAAAGTATTCACAAAGAATTTAATATAAAAAGCTAAAGAATAATATATTTTCAGGACTTGTTGTTTTATATCATAAATATTATTTATATAATAAATAAATTGTATTGCCCTATAATCAAGAAATATCTGTTACGTTTTATTATTTATATTTTTGGAGTTTACCTATTAAAGCCATAAATCTCCGTGTTTTGAAGTGCGACTAATCTAATGTCAAAAAAAAAAGTTTGTATCAACAACTACTAATAAATTAAAAATAAATTAAAAAAATATTATCCAGCGGACAAAATTGTGAATCTAAACCATTCCCAGATCCCCTTGAACATACACAAAAAATTTCCTCAAAATCGGTCCAGTCGTTTAAGAGAAGTTCAGTGACATACACACTCACAGAAGAATTATATATATAAAGATATAGGCTAGAGTAGTAGTAGCTTTTGTGTCATTTTGTGTGAAATTATAGTCAATTGTAATTGAATACAACAATTTTATTGAAAACATCATATGTCAAGCATTTCTTCCATCCGTATGGAGTAAGGCACGTCGTGGACAGTGGTCCAATTGACGGTGTTGGAGCGGGCAACGACGTCGTCCACAAGCTGTTCACGGAACTCCTGCCAGCGACGGGCGGCTACAAACTCTTTGAACAGCTGTTTCTTATTTGGTATCTGCCAAAAATACAAATAACCTAATACATATATTAGATACATAAAAACTTCAAATATTCTGTCATTCGGGGATAGAGTTTTTGTCACTATAAGATATCCGAGTTATTAAACTAGTATTAGAAGTCAGTTAGTTACTTTTGAGATCTAAGATTTTTTCCAATATTCATTTAAATGAAACTAATGTTTTCGGATTATCACGCGTTATTGTAAAAACTACATACTCCCGACGTTTCTTTTCAGCAACCGTGATCACGGGCAGACGAGATGTCATCTCGTATGTAGTTTCTACAATAATAAAATACGCGTAGTATAATCCGAAAAATATTAGTTTAATTCTTGTATTTCGTCCACAAAAAAAATATATATTTCGACAAAGAATATATTTAAGTCACCTTCTTCTCCAAGTAATGTTGAATCCTAGACCAAATGTTGGCTGTGTTCCTTTGTAAGAGCCAAATCATAGGTAAGAGCATGCAATTTACAGGTGTTAGGGCGACTATGCGACGATCACGCATATTCTCACCAAAACCAAAACTGGAACCTGGGTTTAATTGACACACCTACAAATAAAAAAAAATATTTACACAATATACTGACTTAAACGTGACAAGTAAATAAAATTGCCGGCGAGTTTAATGTATATACAATGCTATACACTAGTAATACATAAACATTTGTACTAAGAATTCGTATTAATTAAAAGAAGTACTGACATATAAGGGACTTTCGCAAGAAAATTTTAGGTCAGACAAGTTTTTGTAAAGCCTTTCATTAACCAGTAATCATTTCTTAACAAATTCTGTTTGGAATTAAGATTATTTCTTTATTCAGACACTGAACTAAAAATAATCATAAAAAGATATATCAATTACATAACCTGCATAAAGTAAGTGCGAGTGTTTGGAGGCGGTCGTAATCCAGCTTGCACATCTTCAGGAATCACGCTTAGTCTATAAATTTAATTATTTCTATACAATTTTGGCATTCATAAATAGAAATAAATTATACACATATAAATATAAATTTCAGTAATATGTCTTGTTGATTATTACTTGCCCTACGAATAGGAGTAACATTATTTCTTAAAGTTACAATATCTAACAATATAATGTAACATTTAATGGATCATACCTAATAGAATCGCGTTGTGACCTTTGCAGCGATGGTCTCAATAGCTCTTGAGATTTGGTATCACTTGGAATATTAAAATCTACGCTGATTTTGCTACGTCTTATAATTTCTTCATCAGCAGATGAGCTTGGAACTGACTCTGTTCTTTCATCGCTGGCTAGTTTGAGCACTTTCGTAGATTCTCTTTTACCATTTGACGTGGATGTTTTCATAATACTTCTACTTGACCCTTCGCCACTTTCATGGTTTATCGAGTCCTGTCCTTCTTTATTCTTTGTGTACGCTCCAAAATACTTAGTATCAAAATCTTGCTCACTTTCTTCTTTTGGAACCTAAAGCGCTCATACATATGATTTACAAATAGTGCTTGTTGATTATTTTCTATCAATATGAAAACTCTTTCACACATTTGCAACTAGAATTGGTGATTTTGTTTCTAGAATGATTATATTTTACATAAATGTATAAGCTTTCACATTTTGTATAGATACAGTAGTTAGGAAAGTCATAAAAAATTAAAAATATACAGCTTTATTAAGAATTTAAAGGATTAGTTTCACTTTTTTGTAATTCACACCTCAAAAAAAAAGAAAATCAGAAATTATAAAATATTAAGATAATTACGATAAATAAAGACATACGTATGGATCAAATAAAGCATAGTAATGTTTTCCCAGCCTCGTAGTGACAGTAACTTGTAAAGATTCTATCATCTGGCATCTTCCTGATAGAACAAAATAAACGAAATTGGCAACACCCACGCCATCTCCAAGAAGCGTTTCATTTGCTTCGTAAGATTTCATCTTGGCAACTATGCAACCTTCGCGTCGAGCGACCTACGAACAACATAAATTCCTATCTCCAATTCTACTTTATTGAAAGTAATTGAAACACACACATGTGGGGTTTTAGACATTAATATTAATTGAACAATTGGTAATGTTTACCTCGTCTAGAGCATCAAAGTAGGTAAAAGCTGACATAGCACGTCGAACCTCATCCCACTGTTTTTGTACTGAAGCCTGGAGGACATTTTTGAAGTCCTCCTTCATTAGAGCCAATAATTCACAGTGATCTTTCAAAGAGACAAAAATAGATAGTTAAGCTACAACCTACAGACTCCTACAGCTCCGAAAACTTAAACCTTAAAAAGATTTTATTCTATTCAATAACGTTACTATGGAGCTAACGAAAGTTTTATCGATGCGTTAGTAAGTTATGGCAAATCTAAAGTTACATTAAGTATAATAAATACCAAATTTTTGTTTTATTCTTTGCATTAATTATTATAATAATATGATCTAAACTTTAATTCAGCAAGCAACGGTTCCTAAAAAGTCTAAGGCGGGAACTATTATTTTATGTATACATATAAAGCAAATTATAGTGTTTGTGTGTAATATTGCAATAACAGATAATTTCTACATACTGTATATATGGATATACCTATATTATACACCAAAATAACACTTTTGACAATTGTCTGTGTTTGTTCTTTCCTAATCTGTGAAATGGCTAGACCGATTTTGATGGCACTTAAGCGGTATCACGCGATAATGGTAGGCGGAGAGTATGCGCGCTTAAAAGTTTTGTCATTGTTTTTAGTTTTTATCAGACAGTGTCGTGGGTAAAAGCTAGTTATTAAATAAATTCTAACCAGCAGTTGTACAAGTAGCAGTTCTTGGTATGTTATGTAGCAAGGACACTTCACCAAACATATCGCCAGGATGCATGACACCTACATCAACTGACAGGTACTTTTGGAGTAATTCATCAAAAATCATTTGACTGACGATGACGTCACCGCTTATTATAAAGTACAACGCATGTGCTTCCTGGTGCTGACGAACTATTGTACGTCCTGGACCATAATATTTGAAATAAGTCACAGCCGCTAGCTTCTTTTTAACGTGCTATATAATTAACAAATAAAAAAATATAGAGAAATTTGGTTACGACTGAAAATAATTCAAAAGATTTTCTTTTTCTTACATTTGGATATCGTTTAAAACATTTAAGACCACCAATAATACGAAAAATGTACTTCTTTTCGTGGTCTGTACGATCCATAGCTGGTTTGTTCAACAGTGCTTTATCCTATAAATCCAACAAGAATAATAGGCATAATAATAATAGGCATTAATGAAATTAAATTAAGGACAGCATCCGACCTACACATTAAACAAAACCTTATGAAATTATTTTCTTTAAACTGCCTCGTCAATGATTTGATATCTACTAACATTTATGGATAGGAGTTGTTTCTTCTTGGCCTTACTGCGAACAGCTTGTTCAACTCTCCGTTTGACATCATCTATTCCTTCATATTGGTCTACCCCTTCAATAAGCCAATACGCATTGGCCATTACTAAACGGCCTAATGCTTTGAAGAGACACTTCATATGAAATTTCCGTCTCATGAGTTCCTCAGGATCCTAATAATAGATTTTTAAAAATATGATCTTAACATAAAAAAGATAAATATATATGTTAATAAATTGCGATCAATCGTAATATTCTAACCATTTCCTTTTTACCACCTCCGCGTCCGGCCATGATTTAAAGATTTATGGAAGTGGAATAACAAAGAGATGAAAAAATCTACTATAAATAGATTATTAAAAATTACAAACATAAATCTTATAACGAAATGTCGTTCGTGTCAGTTTAATGACATAAAAGAAAAAATCTTCAGTTTTCTTTTCATTTTTTTATCGTACTCAAAACTTCAAATCAATGTCATTAATCAGTTTTAGTACATATATAAAAGAGATTCCTAAGTTCTGCTAGTTAAAACATCTGTTTTTAAATAGGGACACTGGGGTAATAAAATAATTTTTGATGGATATATAAATGAAATGACTGGGATTTATAGGCAATAAAATAAATATTTTACTTGAAATAAAACTATGTATTAATATTCTTCTATTTCTCTGTTTTTGCATTAACTCTTCATCTCAAACAAATTTAAGAAAAGGATAGCATTTGACAAATATCTGGTTTTCATAAATTAAATACAAAAGTATTATATTAATTGGTCTAGGGTTACGATACATCTATCTTTACTATTCCCTCGTGTTACTTATTTTTAATCTGTAACATTTTATATCTATACTACGCTGTCATGAATTGACAACTTTAAAATGTTTGTTGTACTGTCATTTCGCATGATAGTCATATTTTCGTGATTGCATTTCTGTTTGGGAGAAATCATTTATTTTCATCACATATTCTTAACAATATTTACTTATTTTTAAAATTCTAATAAAATCTTTGAAAATGGTAGGCAAAAAACAAGTTTAAAAACATAACAGCAGAAACATTTAACCGGCATATAAAACTTTTACTACATTATAATTTTTTTTTTATTTCAGAGTTTTGGACTGCCCTCATTGAAGGTTAAACCTGAAGTATCAACTAATATCACAGTTCAAGATGGTGTATTTGGAATTCCTGACCCCATGGTGGCTGGTATTAGTGCTACAAAGAACAAGTTGGGCCAATGCCATCCCTTGCAAGTTTCAGAGAAAAATGTACGTATATACAGCATTTATGTAATAAATATTGTAACAAAAGACATATAATCTATTATTCTCCACTTATTTTAAAGAAAAACTGAAAAAATAATTCATGTTTCATTAAAATTTAAGGTTGATCTTTCAATGGTCAATTTAACTTATTATTATCATAATTCGTCATATATTTTTAGCTGATATTGTTTTAAAACACAAGATCTTCTTAATGTTCCATGACATGTAATATTTTTCAGTACCACTTAAATACAGAAAAGATGGACATGGCAATGCTCCGTAATGTCCAAGGCCTTCATGCACCCATGAAACTCACCATGGAACGGAAGTTTGCTAGCAAGGTCAGTTATTATACTGCAAAGATTATACAACTAAAAAATTAAGCTTTAATAAGCTTAGTATTTTGATTAGTAAATAACGGCTGAAATACAATATATTAAGTTTATAAACATAGCAAATATTTCATATAACAATACAGTGTAAACTCTATATAACGACACTTAAGGGACTGTGCATTTTATGGTGTTATAGTGAGTTGTCATTAAATAGAGAGAAGAAAAATCAGAATTAGAAAAAGACAAAGTTTATTTCAGACTAGTGGTGGTACTTATGTACATAAAAAAGAATGTTATTCGAACGCTATTGCATATAGTCTGTTATTTTTGTTTGATGTCTTTTGCTGCACCAGTAATGTTGTTGTATTTTTTTACTTTGTATTTTATTCATATCTTGGGACATTGAGGCTTTTTAGAAAGTTTGGTATGCATGATTCCGACAGTACAGTTTATTGCGGGCTAGGATAACAAAGTGATAAAAGAACATACACAGCTGCTCAGTTTTTACTAATTTTAGCAACTTAAAAGGTACTTTTTATTACTTGATTGTTGTCATTATTGAGAGTGGGTGTGACGCTATGTAGAGTATCATTGTATGGTAGACAAGCTAAACCAACCAAAGTCAAATGATTTCGACGCTTAAGAGAGTTTGTGGTTAAATCGAGTGATGGTATATGGAGTTTACACTGTATATTATTTAAGTAGAGATCCACTCAGAAATTGTTTTGAAGTGCCGATGATATGTTTTAGATATGCCTTGTACATATGAATGACCTTATGCAAGATTCACTATTTATGATATGAAGTAAATTCATTAAATATACAATATATTAAATTATTATTGTTCTCAGAATTATATGAAACTTTGCAATGATTGTGGAAAGTATTTAGACTTAATTATGTAGTTTAACTAATAACAAATCATACTCTTGCTACATTGTTCAATATTACTCATGTGAATATTTCTCTTAATTCTTTGTTGCTACATAATCCAGCTGACAATATTAGGACACAATTTTATTTTAACCAAATTGTATCTAAGTGGACATATTATTTTTCATGTAAGAGTTTTTAGAAGTTGCATGTTTACAGTTTTTTCTATTTGGAAATATATGTATAATATAATATAGATCAGTTAATTGTTGGAAATAAATATCTGTGCAGAAGTCAGGAGCCAAACAATTTAGAAAAATGTTAGTATGTAAATTTTTTGAAAAGAACAGTAAATTTTTGTTTTTTATGTGTAAAAACAGTGTTATTGTAAAATATAGATATATTTTCTATGGAAGGGCATGTTAGGACTATTTAAAAATTATTCTTAAGACCTATAATAATTTAATACTTTTTCCATATGTGTATATGTACTTTGTTTCATGTAGAATGCATATGTAATGATAGTGCTCTTATTTTCAGATTGGCCGTCTTCCTTTCCTCCCAAGTTCTAACTTACAACATGATGTGTTTACCGGAAGATATTTAGATATTGGTTTTGAAGACATTCTTAACACTCCAGAATTTTGTGAAGTCAATGGGCAACCTCATGCTGTAGTTGAGAGGTCCCTTGGTCTACTTTAAATTAAATAATGAAACTACCATAAATTTTAATAAGAAAATAAAAAAGTATAAACAATCTTTGTTTGAATTCATTTTTATTCCTCGCTCCTTACAATGTCAAGGATTCTTAATCTGCAAATTTTCTTAACTTCGTTAATCCCCGTTATGATTTCCTGTTCTCTTGAGTTATTATAACGGCTTTGCAAACCTTCAATAATAGATTGCACCTTATTTTCTCGCGCGCATATTATAAATGGGAAACCGAATTTGGTTTTGTACCTGCGGAAAAAAGTAGAATAGTGACATCTATGTAGTTTTATACGAACTGTCTTAACTACTTTTAAAATGATAGCAGCACCATCTAGTATACGTGAGAATAGTTTTGTTTTACGATTGTAATAGTAGATGTCGCTTTATAAAACATTTACAACGTTGAGGAATCTTACTGTATAGATGGCAGAACACAAAGATAATTCTAACATTTTCGTGTTTCCGAATTACAGTTTAAGCCACAAGAGTCACTGAGAAGTGAGACCTTCGATATTGTTAATATGTAACTAATAATAATAGTAGTACGATGTTAAGTAGTTCAGAGATGAATATTAATTAATGTACCTCTCATTGTTAGCTTCAATTATAGACTTCTGTTCAAGTGTTAAATCTGTAAGACCAGCAGAACGTTGTTCATTTGCAGACTCACGAGTTAGTTCGTTTCTAGCTGCCAGTCGACCCGCTAAATCTGGATGCGATTTCAAAATCTCTATCTTACCTGCAAAGTTATTAAATATTTACAACAAGTGTGCTGTTAGGTGTCATAAAACATTGCAGTTATGTTTTTAATTAGAGTGCTAGAATTCCCTAACAAGAATGAGCCAATAAGACTATATTATGTAGCTTATTTACAAGCTTATTTTCTACTTAGGTCATAACTCATATCCGTGGCTATCCACGACAGATATCTCGGTTATACTTGGTTGAAGCTTTAGGAGAAAACTGACTTTAGAGATTTTATGCCGTTTTCTTATGTCCCCAACTATTTTCTCAATACTAGTATCCTTACCGCTAGTTTATATATAGTACTAGTGCTAAAGATACGAAACGTTATCAGATTTTTTATTCGCCTATGATAGTGTCAATGTAGATATATCAAAAAAAACTGTCAACTCTCCATACAAGTGGTGGAGTAGAATAATCATTAAACATTGGGATTAATGAAATAGCTATTAATTTGAGTTATGGATGAAATACAAACAAATAAATAATAGATATATAAATGTCTTTACATTCAAGAAATATTTTAATTATTTAAATAAATATTCTGAAAAGGCTAAAAGAAAAAAATAAGAAAAAAAAGAATGTAACGTTAGAATAACATTCTGAACACAGCAACATAATATTATATCTTAGGACAATACTAAAGTAAGAAAGATTTTATTGATATAAATAAAATAAATACGTACTTCCTAAAAATATTTGTATATAACTAAGTTATGTCTCGTTAAGAATTATGTGAATTAAGACCCTAATGTTATCCAAGAGTTTGGCTAGTATTCATTTAAATAAAACTGATAGGTATAAATCTTATATATTAAAATACCTATATTTTCCGATGTAGGTACTTATTGTGCGTTTTATATCATTTTCAACTACATACTCCCGACGTTTCAGTAACATTGCATCAACCGTGATCACGGGCAGTCGAGATGAAAATATCTCGTTAAAAATATATTAAAATATTTTGTTTTAATTAGGACCTTAGTAAAAGAATATATTAAAATAAATTATAGAATAATTGAGAAAATAAATAGAATGAAATATGAAAGTAGACGTAGGCATAATTTCAACATTACCAGTAGGTTTTTTTTTATGTTTTTTTTTTTATGTGAAAGGTGGCAAACGAGCAGACGGCCCACTTGATGGTAGGTGGTTACCGTCGCCCATGAACATCCGCAACATGTTTGTTACGGAGGCGTTGCCAACCTTGTTTTTTAGGGATAGGGAGGGATGGGAATAAGGGAATGGTAAGAAAGGGGTAGGAATAGGGAAAGGGCAACCGGCTCTCTCACTCATCGGACGAAACGCAGCCATTAAAGGCTACTTCACGCCGATCTTCTGTGAGAGGGTGGTACTTCCCCGGTCGAACCAGCCCATGTTCGAGCTGTAGTAACTGACCACAGCTAGGCTCTACCACCTAAGTAGTAGGTTCTTATTTTATAAATTATTTTTGGATTAAAGCATGCACATTCTTTGGAACCTATATTTAAAGAATTAAAACCTAAACATCATTTTAAAAATTAATAATTATGTTTTTAGAATTACTATATGACAGATATATTTTTTACGAAACATACTTAAATTTATTTCACGCGCCATAAAATGTTTTTTCTAAATATATTTTCAAGTATCCAAACATAATATGCAGCAAATTAAAATGATAAAAATTATCTCATATAATAAAAGCGTTCTCTATATTGTTATGAATAAGTTAACTATCAACAAACTCCTCATTCCTAAATCTTTTGTACTAAGGATTTCAAGTACCTAAATATTTGTAAATTTATGGCGTTACCAGTTAATTTATGTATAAACAAGGATGAAACAGTGTTTATAGTAACACATATTAAGTTTACAGAATTAAATAGAAGTCACTTATATTTTTCTTTTAATTTAAATCATTTGAAAAAGTCAAAATTGATTCTACTTTCAGCTGAGTTTTTAGATATATTTCCATGTGAACCGTTTTAATGTTGTTCAATGATAAAGCCGACGGTTACTTAAAAAAGTCATTGAAAGAGGTGTGTTTAAGTTTAAAAATATATACTTAGTTCTTACAATATATCAGACAAACGAAGTAATGAGAAAATATGCAAACTCTCTGTTAATTATTCATGATATAGGCTCCCGTTGATTAATTATTGAAAGTTAATTTAAAGAAAAAATAGCTTAATCTCACAATTAAAATGAAAACATTTATGGTAATTAAAAAGTAATTCGAATGAAACCCACTGCAAATGTATATTACACATTTTCATAACCAAATACGTAATTACTTTTTCTACATATTTATTTAATATTTAGCTTTATGAACTGTAATTAAATACTTAAAGGTACTTTTTTTGACGTAACAGCTGTAACATTTTTTTGCCAACGAAATAGAATTTAATCATATCAATTTAATGATTTAATAATACCTAATTTTCCACAATTTTATCACGGCGGAGATAAAGTGGATATCAATATTCCATTTCACTACTACGACATACCATGGGTAGTAAAAATATCACAGTAAATACTTGCTATATAAATTAGTAACAGAGTCATAACAAAGAGCAACACCCTTAACATTGGTTCACACAATAATTATACGGTAAATATTTACTCGCCTTCAAGGTTGAGATCATCTAAATATTTGTTGAAGGCGGCACAGAGGTCAGGTAAATCTTTGAATGGACGCGTATCCTTCACAGAGACCGCCGCAGACTCACACAACTCTATAACATTCCCAAATACCCGATGGAACTCATTTTCCTTCATGGAATTCACTTCAGATATGTTTATTAACCCAGACATGGTGTGACTCGGTTAGAAATGTTTTTAGTTGTGAATTTGTCATTGTTATCATACTTCTGCACTATCAACGAGGTCATTAGTTCATATTAATGTTTACTTATTAGTGACAAACTTTGAGACTTATTACGTTATGGTAACAACTACATATTATTATTTCTAATAACAATGAAACTGTCCATACAATTTTAATATACTTTTTATTCTAAGGAAATTACATTAATAATAAATGTAATGTTATTAATACGTACATTGAAAATTTTGTTTTTATTCAAGTTATTTTTTTTTATCTTCCCGTTCCAATGTTCCCGTCAATGAAATACAAATACAGATTTTTTATTTTATTATATTCAATTGTTCGAAATTATATAACATTTTTATTGTATTTCCAGAAATTTTTCGATTACGAAGAATTTGTTTTGTAAGGAATTCCAAATCAATTCCTATATAAATTCAGATATTTTAATTAATTTTATTATCACATGCTCTTCTTTTCTTGCTCTACATCAAAACGACTCAACTTTTATTTATTATTATTGCTTTACTAGCTACAACATGCATAAACCTAACTGTTATACAAAAGAAAATGTTTCTTATAATGTTATTTGATAGCACACTCATTTTCGTCCCCACACAGTTCCAAATCACCCAGTAAAGAGAAACAAAAGCGACATTTATGTGTCAGTCGTGCCTCGGCTGGCGAATAAATCAAGTTGCTAACGCGAGATGGCGCTAACGGCTCCACAGGGATGCGCGACAAATGGCCGCGAGGGAGGATCGCGATATGACTGCAAAACAAATTTGATAACGTTTGAAATTTGATACGCTAATATTCTACCAGTCATAATTATGAGTATAATATGTACCTACCTCTCAAATAAGAATATATATATGTATGTAGTTATAACTTATAGTGGTCGTAGATAAGTTAAATGAACGTTTTAATTTTTCTTTCATTACATTTTTTTTATTTTCATATTATTTCATATAAATGAAGGAAAACAAAATCACGCTTAAAGCACGAAATGGTAATAAATACTTATTATCCACATGTAAAATCACATTATATACAATTTGTAATGTGTTTAACTTACTGAGTAGTAAGGAAATTTTTTATGAAATTAAAAAATTATCTGTTTAACTAATGTCATAGAGACAGACACACTAATGGACTAATTTAGATAAACTATTAGGTAAAGGTTTTACAAATTATAAACAGAAATATTTTAAGGTAACTACTAAATAGACATTAAGTCATTTTCATTCATAGCAAACCTTTAAAAAAAGACCTATTTTAGAAACTAAAATGGCAACAGGAGTTAAAATACACATAATATAAATATATATAAATATATATAAATATATTTTCCATCCTTGTGTGTTGCTATCTGCATTTTGATATACAGTGATTTGTTTTAGTTACAAATAATATTCAATCTAGAACATAATATGTATGTATGTTCTTATATATTTATTAACATCAATACATTGACATAAAAATTTAACTGTCCCCTTTTTTTGCTGATTGTACATTTTATTTAGTAAATGATTTTCAGTATTACACTATAATAAGTATATGTTATGACATTAGTACTTTTAAAATTAACTACGTTACTTTAGTATTCTTAACCCATTTTCCATAAACCAAAATAGTATAAAAATAAATTTTAACTAAAGTATTATTGCAGAGCACCAAGAAATAACGAGTTATAATATTTTTGATAGTCGTATAAGGTACCTTTTATATTTATATAAATGTGGAAATGAATTTTTTCCTTACTTCATGCTTAATATTCAAGTTTTATGACCTTTCGTGAACAAAAATATAATAGAGAACATTAGTTTTACGATAATATTATGCAATATAGACTGTAATAGTGGAATAACGGAGCGTAAACATAACATAATTTAGTGAACAAAACATTATAACAGTGACACTCTAGAGAAATCAAATGTGAAGCTTTAAAATGATATGGAAACAATAAACATAAAATGCGTTGTACACGACGCATGTGATTGCTGTGAATTAATTAAAAGTGGTTTTCATTAGGTCCATAAACGTCGGCCGTCGGGCGTCGGCCATATTGGAGTGTCATGCGACTGAGTCTCCGTCAGGGCGGGGCCTGCCGCAGATAACGCAAAGCTCAGTATATCGACATTCAGCCTGCACCCGCCGCCTTCTACCTGCCTTATCCACCTATATTTTTTACCTAATATCTTTTTTGTTAAGATATTGAAAGGCGTTGCACGTTTCGACGGCTCTTTGATGCATGACCTTTCTGGGATTTTACACATTAATAATTCAATCCTTCTTTTCTTATATCTTTTTTAATGAGGTGCTAAAATACCGAAGATAAATCGTTATTGGTCTTAATTGATACATACATCAACGGCCGGTTTAATTAATATCTAAAATTTCTATATGCTTTCTATCTTTCGTATAGCCTGTGAAGTAATGTTTAATCGTTATTTACTAGGTAGGTACATAGCGCTATATAAAATGTACTTTATTTCCTCTCCTTCCCTAATGGATACAAACATAGACGTATACAAACTCGTAAACACAAAATAAGCCACGACACAACCCTTGCATTCAATTTTACGATTTTACCCATAAAGAAACACATTATCTATTTTATCTAACCTTAAGTCCAACAAAGAGATAAAGGATTCCTAGTTTACGTGTGTAAATAAATTATTCAAACTATTGTGTGTCGTTCGTTCGGATTGTCTAAAGTAAATTTGAGTACTGTGTCCCAATCGCGTAGTAAATCACTCAGCTTCACGTGTTAGGAAAAGGATTTTATAACTCGACATCTACATACAGATTTGAAATGTTACTTAAATTTATTGCATAGGAGTGTTACAAAAAATGTAGAGTGATACAATATCTGGGTACTTAGGTTATATTCGAAGAGAATTGGAGTGATTTATTTTCAGATCTTTTTTGTTAGATATACCTTCTAAGGTATTTAATACCTCATGTATTCTTAAAATATACTTTGTAGAGTACATGCACATAACGTTTTTTTCCTAAGAAATTATAGACTTAATAGTGGGTAATATAACAAATAAAAAAATGCATGTATCTGATGGGCCTCGTAAATGTATCTGGTGGGCTTCGCGAACCAAAGGGATCCCTGAAGCCTATATTGAAATCATCAGAGACATGTACCGCTATTCCGTTTCAATGGTTAGGACTGCTGTTGGCGATACAAAACCCTTCCCGATCTCAGTAAGGATGCACCAAGACTCGGCTCTTATCCCATTTTTGTTCAATGTAGTGCTGGACACTGTCACGGCAAGCAAATAGGACCAGCCTCCATGGCTAACGATGTATACCGATAACATAACGCTCATTGACGAGAGCCGCTTGATACTGGAGCGTAGAGTAAACCTTTGGAAGGGTACCCTTGAAAACGGTGGTCTTAAACTAAATGTAACGAAGACCGAGCACAGGGCTTGCGGGAGCCCGGACTCTTGCACTATTCATTGCCGTGTATATTGAATTGATTGAAAATATACATAATTTCTATTTAAGATAAAAATAAAGATCTTCAACTTCTTTTTAAAAATTTATTTATCGTATTAGTTTTTAAACAAAGGGATAATTTAATAAATCCATACAAAGAAACATGAAGAAGTCTTACAGAAACTCGTACATTCATTAATTATTAGATAATGTGAAAATACAGGGTGACTGGTGAGATTAGTATCATTTAAATGAATACTCACGAAAATCTTAGATCTCAATAAATATTTGTATATTGTACACAATAACACGAATACAACATAGGCACATTACACATAGTAGTACCAATCAACAATGACTAATATTTAAAATGAGATAGACATCGAGTTTCACAACATCGTCCTTACTTATCTAAAAACATATATATTCTTTAGTAACTATTACAATTAAGAAAATCTGTATAAATTTGGTAGAAATATGAAGCATATGTAGTCGTTGTGTTAGTTGTTATTGCTGAGATATTTCTTCCCCTCATTTAATTACGTAAAGTAATCGTAACATGCTTTATATGTGACTAAAGCAAATGCAAAGTCTGTAGAATGCGAAAGAAATAAACTAATTTGTAATAAATATATTAATGGAGTTACAAATAGATGGACGTGCCTAAACCTGAGCATGTATATTTTTATATGTACCTACTAAACTCTTCTTTACTTCTTTAGTTTGTTTAAAAGGAAGTAAATAATATGAAACATTAAAATATATTAATACGCACAATAGTTTACGTCAATACTCGTAAACCTAGAACGTTAAAGAAGCATATTTAAGATCATAATAATATAATATTTTGTGGGTTAAATATTTATATAACAATACTTAATTAAGCTTATTTATGAAAAATATATAAATAAAATTGTTTAATTCTAAGTTTTTGATATGAACTAGCTTAATTTAAATAATCTTATGTTTAAAAAATATATATTTAATAGAAGATTTTAATTGAAAAATAGCAATGATTAGAGTTATATTGCCAATTCCCTTACTGATGGTTAAACTTTAAACAGTTTTATTTTAAAAACTACAAAAAGATTCAATAAATATTGACAGTTATTAATAGATAAATAAAATAACAAACTTTAGCTAGAGCTTGAAAATCAACATGATACGATACATTAAGTATTAAATATATATTTTAATTTAAAATAGTTTCCTTTCCATACATATTCTTTTTTATATTAAATACTTATATTATTTATACCGTTTCGTTTTAAAACAATTCAAAATTATCATCACCGATCTCAACCATAAAAGCAATTAACACATTGTAAAAAAAAAAAAGTAATCGGAATAAATTTGTGATGACGTAACTTTTTTCATTGTCATTATAATTATTTGTTATTATTTACATTACATACTTAACTGAATATAATAAATATTTTAGCAACTAGGCTATTAAAGGTACTGCGGCTGGTTTTGAAATAGATTGGGTAAATTGTGAGTATATTGGAATAATAGCTATTAGCCTAAAGTT